AATCTCCATGCTCCTTGATTTTGTTGACATTCCTTTTGAAGCGTATTTTATAGCAGTGTGGTGAATGAGTGTATTTTATAGTAAATGAAGTGTATTTTTAATATATTATATAGTAGTTCAGTGCTTCCTGTCAGGTTCTTTCCCCCTCACTGATCTGCCGCATAACAGTAAATTTTCAAAGATTTAATTATTCCTTAGACACGACCCTAAAGAAAGAAAAAGTTCCTTTTGAAGATTCTATGGAATTTTCACTCTACTCATATTAGCAAATAAATACTGGGAAGTTACTTATAAGAGTGGTTCATGCATTTATTAGGATATATGTGCTCTAAACATAATTTATAGGTATATTCTTCTCCTGTGTAATAACTTTTTTTCTAGGTTTTTCCCCACCCCCCACTTTCTTCAGTTTCTTTAAAGCTTCCATCTGGCTTATACAGCACTCTTCTTTATTATTATTGCTTCTATGAGGAGCTATATCACTTTCAAACTTCCCTCACTTTCTTCTGTATTTAATATTTGTCCTAGAAATGCCTGGAAAAGACACTGTCAGAGATTTTTAGAATAAAGACTCCCAAGAAACATGGATAAAGGTAGCAAGGGAGAGAACTTGAATTTGGAGAGTAAAGAGGAAGATTACATTGTGTACTGGCGTTGAAGGCTAGTGTGATGGTGAATTTTGTGTGTCAACTTGACTGGCCACGGGTGCTCCGATTAAATATTATGTATGGGTGTGCCTGTGCAGGTGTTTCTGGGTGACAGGAAAGTACATTGCTCTCCCCGATGCAGATTCTCCACTGAGGGTCTGAATACAACAAAATGTGGCAAAAGGAAGAATTAGCCCCCCATTTTTTTCTGCCTTACTAATTTAACTGGGACTTCTCTTCTCTTCTCTTCTCTTCTCTTCTCTTCTCTTCTCTTCCCCTTGGACTGGGATTGACACCATTGGCTTCCCTGGTTCTCAGACCTTTGAACTTGAACTGAACAACTTCAGTAGCTTCTCTGGATCTCTAGCTGGCAGACTATGAGACTTCTCAGGCTCCATTATCATATGAGAAAATTCCTAATAATAAATCTTGTCTGACTATCTATCTATGTATCTATCTATGTATCTATCTATCTATCTATCTATCTATCTATCTATCTATCATTTTTCTATCATCATCATCTCCTACTAGTTCTGTTTTTCTGGAAAACTCTGACTAATAAACCCATAATAAATCTTTCTCAATTTCTAAAATGTATTTCTGCTGAAGATTTAGTTAAACATTGATACAAATTGACAAATGAGATACGGTACTAGATGATATAAAGGAACACTGCGGGTGAATGTGTGTGTGTGTGTGTGTGTGTGTGTGTGTGTGTGTGTGTGTGTGTGTGTGT